TTGAATTTAATTTTCATTTTCAGTTGCTTACGTTGTAACTTTCCCAGTTCCCGCCGATGTTGCCCGACCAGGACGGGCAGTTACGACAAATAGACGGAGATCCGCACGACTGCGACGTCCGGCACCTGCTACTAGGACTCCGTACACGAGGGGGAGCGCAAAGCAAAAACATTAATACTTGTGGATAAATTGCCGAACATAGCACGATGACGGGGTTCAGCATGCTTTTGTATTTTGTTTGATGTAATTTACGTGGTGAAGGATGTTAGTTACTTCGCGTTATATTGGTGCCTTGTTCATTCATTTTGGTGATTTACATATCAGACAGGGTAGTTGGCAAGCTTGGTGACACTTAGAAGCATTCATCACATTTTGCAATTCCCGTGGTGAATGCCTTGTCACCGTTTACCGTTGCTGAAATTATTGTAGTGTTAGAACTTGTATTAGTTATCCGGCTTTATTATGTTATGTTAATCGTACTTACGGTACTAAGTCCCTTCATTCAATGTTCATCAACGCTCGTACATTGTATTGCGCAAAAAATTATGTATGCGTACATTTATTCTTCTTCATTTATTCTGCAGTTTACCAAAATTCAAAATTATACAATCTTTACTGCAATGCACGTTTTCGTCAACTGTTGAGAAGGAAGAAAACATCTGTCGGGCCCGACAGTTCAACTAGGCGGGCCATTAAATTTTATAACTTCCTTGCGTTTCGATAATTGAAAATGGTGGGATTGTCCAATACAAGTGTCTTAGTGTAACATGCTATTGTAGATATTATACGTTTCTGATTTTTTGCAAGTAACAAATATTTCCAATACATTTATACTTACATAATGAATGCATTACAAGCATTGTCTATCAAATTACATTTCAGATGTCATTAAAGCTGTTGTGAGGCTTCCATTTTGAAACAGGTAGTTGATACGAGATAATGGGTTCATCCACCTCTAGCAATGAAACATTCAACTCCAATATGCATCCACCCATATTGGGTTCATCCGCTGAGTTTCCCATCGTTTTGTTGTCAGACGATGAGGACGTAAGAGTTGAACTGCATGGTGCTGAGTTTGACGTAGTGTCAAGTGCAGAATCTAAGTCACCGAACAGCGTTCTCGATCAAGTCTTCGAGGTTTGGGGCCCAGTCAAGTCACCGTCCGACTCGAATGAGTGGGTGCCTCATGTTCCACCTCCTGATGGGGAAAGTGGGGGAGCTTCTTACATTGTCAAAAGCAGTGCAACTGTGCAATAAATGGCCCTTTT